CTGTGGGACTCCGTGGGGGTCTATGGGGGGTCCATGGGGGTCCGTGGGGGTCTGTTGGACTCCGTGGGACTCCGTGGGGGTCTGTGGGACTCCGTGGGGGTCTATGGGGGTCCATGGGGGTCTGTGGGACTCCGTGGGGGTCCATGTGGGTCTGTGGGGGTCCTGAGGCTCCGTGGGGAGCGCAGAAAAGTCCAGCTTTGACTGAGTTTTAGAACCAGAAAAGTCCAAGTTTTGATTGAGAGTGAGAATTGCTAAAAACTAGGGGAGGTTAAGCTCTAGATAAGTTATAGTGAATGTCCATAAGAATGTTAGTTTTAGTCCTCCAGTAAGAAACTGTCCAATATCTGAAGAACTGAGAGCTCCAAAAGAACTTAAAAATACAGTAAAAAGAAAAAAAAAGAGGAAAATAAAATAAATAAAAAAAAGAAAGAAAGAAATGCCTGAAACGTCTCCCCTAAATGATCCACGGAGAGCACAGATCCGGAGTAATTACTACTTGGGAACTTAAATGCAGCTCTCAGACAGTAGAAATATTGGCCTACGGTGGCCCCCAGGGGACAGAAAGGCCTCATATCTGAGCAGCCCCACTTTTCAGCTTTTTCAACTTTTTCAAACGCGTTCACGGCCCAAAAAATCCCTTTTCCTGCAGTTTGGGGGGTCAAACACTGTTTGTCGAAATAGGAGTCAAATATTCCGATAACGACGTGAAATAACTGCATTTTTCGTCTATTTTCTGCAGATGCTGAAGCTGAAAATGTCACTTTGATATCGTTCTAACATCAAGTTTTTCTCTTCATTTAAAGGATGGAAGACAATGACTGAAGGTCCATCAGTAAATCAGAAAGAGGGCCTAAAATCAAATTAAATCCCCAAAAATGGAATTGATTACGAGATTAAAGTGGTTATTAAATATGGTGGGAAGTCCTCCTAGTTCTTTCTTTTCTTTTTATTTCATTTTCTTATTAACATCCTGATACTCCTATCTATCTATCTATCTATCTATCTATCTATCTATCTATCTATCTATCTATCTATCTATCTATCTATCTATCTATCTATCTATCTATCTATCTATCTATCTATCTATCTATCCGAGGATAGAATAATTATGACTTTAATCTCGTTATTAATCCCCTTTTTGTTTTGAATGTGGCCCTAATTCTTCCATCAAACATTTATTTATTATTGCACATAAACCTCAGACTTGGCAGTAAAAGCTGACCTTTGGCTGACCTCTGGCTGACCTTCGGCTGACCTTTGGCTGACCTCTGGCTGACCTTTGGCTGACCTTTGGCTGACCTGTGTTTTTTGCAGGACGTGAACAGCGTGAGTCTGGAGCAGCAGCCGGGGACCAGTCCGGCCTCAGAGGACGGGGAGCCGGCCGACAGCCAGCCAGAGGGTGAGGTCTTTTAAAAAATATTTTTATTTTTAAAAATATTTTTAAAAATAAAATAAAAATACTTACTTAGAAAATTGGAAAGAGCAGTGAGAAAAACAAGTGAATAAATACAAATGAAAAATAAAATAAATAAATCAGCAAAGTAAATAAAAGTAAAAATCAAACATAATATAAATATAAATATTTAAATATAAATAAAAATAATTGACTTAATCATCAAAAACATATTATAAATATAAATAATGTAAATATTTAAATATAAATAAAACACATTGACTCAATTATTAAAAACATAATATAAATTTGAAAAAAATAATATTTAAATATAAATAAAACCCATTGACTCAATCGTCAAACATACGATATAAATATAAAAAATCAAAATATTTAAATATAGATAAAACTCATTGACTCAATTATTAAAAACATAATATACATGTGAATAATGTAAATATTTAAATATAAATAAGTAATTGACTCAATCAAAACATAATATAAATAAGAAAAATACAAATATTTAAATATAAATAAAACTCATTGACTCAATTCTCAAAAATATGATGTAAATATAAATAATCTAAACATGTAAATATAAATAAAACTAATTGACTAAATTATTAAAAACATATTATAGATAAGAATAATGAAAATATTCAAGTATAGATAAGTAATTGACTCAAGTATTAAAAACATAATATACATATGAATAATGTAAATATTTAAATATAAATACACCATTGACTCAATCGTCAAAAATATCATGTAAATATAAATAATCAAAATATTTAAGTATAAATAAAACCCATTGACTCAATAATCAAAACATAATATAAATTAGAAAAGATAAAAATATTTAAATAAAAATCAAAATCATTGACTCAATCGTCAAAAATATGATATTAATATAAATAATCGAAAAAGTTTAAATATAAATCAAACTCATTGACTCAATCGTCAAAAATATGATATCAATATAAATAATCGAAAAAGTTCAAATATAAATCAAACTCATTGACTAAATTATTAAAAACATAATATACATATGATTAATGTAAATATTTAAATATAAATAACTCATTGACTCAATCAACACATAATATAAATAAGAAAAAATACAAATATTTAAATATAAATAAAACTCATTGACTTAATCGTCAAAAATATGTTGCAAATATAAATAATCTAGATATTTAAATATAAATATAACTCATTGACTCAATTATTAAAAACATAATATTAATATAAACAATGTAACTATAAATAATTTATTGAATCAATAATACAGACATAATATAAATTTGAAAAAATAAAAATATTTAAATATAGATAAAATTCATTGACTCAATCGTCAAAAATATGATATAAATATAAATAATCTAAATATTTAAATATAAATAAAACTCACTGACTGAATATATTTTAAAAAAACTTATAATATAAAAAAAATATATAAAAAAAATATATATACCTGCGTCTCCGTTCCAGACCCCGGTAAGGAGCACGCCGCCGCCCCCCCCGGCGTGGTTTGGCGGCTGACGGGCGGCCTGTTCAGCGCCACCCGGGGCGTGGTGGGCGCCGCGGTGGGAGGCGTGGCCTGGGTGGGCGGCAAGAGCCTGGAGATCACCCGGTCGGCCGTTGCCACGGCGCCGGCGGTGGGCGTCGGCCTGGTGAAGGGCGGCGTGGCGGCCGTGGCCGGCGGCGTCTCGGCCGTGGGCGCCACGGTGGCCAGCAAGGCGCCGTTCACCGCCAAGCGGAAAGACAAGGCCGAGTGAGGGGGGGGGGGGGCGGGGAGGGAGGCGGGGGGGCGCCGCACGCCAGCCGCACGCCAGCCGCACGCCACCGGGCCGTTCAGCTCCCGCCAGCGTACCGACACAGACTGATGCACTGCCTCCTCTGGGACAGAACAACTGTTCCCAACGCCGCCTCCCAAGCTCCCAAGATGGCGTCGGACACCTCAGACGGCGTCTGACTCCTCTGATGGCGTCCGACTCCTCTGATGGCGTCCGACTCCTCTGATGGCGTCCG